AATTTTACAAAGCACTTCAAAGATTTTATAATTATTTAAAGTCATTTCATATTTATGATAATGATTCAACCTTTCTTTCTATATTTCAAAATTGTAAGTACAGTACGGTTTAAAATTAATCTATAAAAATCTATTAAAATATATCAATATGAGAATCGTAAAGTTATTTCAAAAAATTAAATTAAAGCAAACTATCGTTTGCCTCGTTGTCGTTTTGTCTTCGATTATGTTAAGGTTTATTTTATTTAATCAATTTTAATCTAAAAACTCAAGATTGATCTAAAAATTCGATTCAAAAATCAAAAGAAAATGAATGGAGCAAATGAGAGAAGGCGATTAGCAAAACGCAAAATTAAGTCTTCTATTACACAAGCGGCCATAAATCTTCCCTCTTGAAATTAATTACCTTTCAGGCAGAAATGCCTCGGAAATATAATCCATTTTTTAAAAAGGCACATAAATTCGATCGATTATTCGAAATTTCCCATACAAAGAATATAAATTTCTTGTTTAATAAATAAATCTACACATTGTCTATCTCATTTATATCTACATTATTAATATAAAAATAATTTATTTCCAGTATTTACAATATTATTCTAAAATTGGATAGTGTATCTTGTTGTAAAGCATTCACATATCTCAATTTAAATCGCTTGGTATTGCAATCAGTATAAGCGATACACTTGTTCTTTCAGAAAAAAGAATATTCTTTTTTCTTGAAACTTGGAAAAACAGTCAGACTTTTAAGAAAAGCATGTAAAGTATATAATATCAATATTGATATACTGATATGCGCTGACTACACTATTCATTTATTTTCTTGTGTTGGCGATTTATATACTGTGACTTGGAATCTTTTTTGGACACCATCCCTGTATCGTCCATCTAGTTACGCAACTGATTGATGAAAATATAATATTTTTTAATTAGGATGTCAGAAGACCTTATTTTTGGATCACAGCATGATAAGTTTTGACATGTTGTTTTCGTAATTAAAAAAATATTTGTTCTATTAAATTTGGCTGAAATATAAACCGAAACGTTCGGTATTGTAATTTTTACAATGTTACTACAATAACCTTCATTATTTTATTAAATAACTGTTTTTTTAATTGTTGCGCTATTCTTTTGTTGCATTACCCCTCATTAGTATTACCTTTCTTTACTTCATGTATTACGTGTTATTTTTTTTAAATTATATCTTAGCATTGCACTTATACTTACTAAGAGCTTCTCATATCGCATATATTGTTTTATTTGTACGTACATCCATACGTATATACTTTAACAGCTGTCTTAATTACTCACTACATGCATACATTTACAGATAGCAGTTTATTCTTACAATTTTTATTCCGAAAATCATCGTAAAAAGTGTTGTAACTTTTTTGTGACCGATCATGCATAAGAAAAATATGAATTAGTCATTGCGATTGATTATTAGTAATTAAAAATATAAAAAATTACAAAACTAAATGAATATAAATTATTTTTGTAAAACAATTTAGAAAATAATTCAAGCACAACAGAAAATTACAAAAAGAACTTTTTTAAAATAGACTGGGAGACAATTCCAAACAAGAATTTTAGAAATTATAAAGGAAACACACCACTCATTTGATTATTATTGAACATAGAGTGGATGGTAATTATAATTTTAATTGAAATGTTGAATTGATATAGAATATTTTAAGAGAAAATTAATTTCTGAAATGTTATATAAGAAAAACAATGAAATAGCCTTAATTTACAATCACTTAATTTCTATATTACTCATATGCTTCTATGTTAAATAAATTATAAATATTGCTCTAATATTCTTGTTATAATTTATTAGATTAATGCAATGTATTTTTATTATTCCTTGCGATTTGGACTTTTAATGATAACATAACTGTTTCCTGTCCGTTATTTTACTAATTGTTTTTAAAAAAGTCATTTTTGCAATTTTTTCATATTTATTTCTATTTACTAATAACTAATCACAATGATTAATCCATGTTTTTCTGATTATTTTTCGTATTTATTTATTTATCGTATTTTTTGATTTCTTGTAAATTAAAACATATTTATTATTTATAATATTAGAATCAAAATTGGATGGTGTATCGCCTCATTTCAGAATGTTTACTAATCATACTAATTTATCATTTGGTTTTGTAAACAATGTGAACGATGCTCTCCCTCCCTCCCCTCAAACCCTCTCATTCCTACCCATCCACTTTCTCAAAAAAGTTTTTTACTTCTACCTGGAAAAATAATGGGATACACTGTATTCTCATTGAAAATGATTCCAAGTTGAGATTCTTAATCGTGCAGATGTGTCTCGTACCTATTAAATTTGTAAAAATGGACAGCAATTAAAGTTACCTTTGAATTTTATATGTAAAAGCATATTTCTCACTTCTTTCAATAGCTATCAAATCATGTATTTTTCTATTTGTATAAGTTTCATTTCACGTACTTTTACGGCTATTTTTTGATTATCAAGAAGAGAAAGAATAGTAATCGTCTATTTTCACAAATGTTTTAAAGTCATCTGAAGCGTTGATTTAATCAAATATCTATTTATTTGCAAATTACATGCAAATTAATAAATTTCACTGTGTCATTTCTCGCTAACATCACGAGTTCAATATGGCCGCGGAGACCAACCTAGGAGCCTTAACTATTAGGAGCCTACATCAATTACTATCCAATCTTCAAATATAGTTTTATGTTAAAGCTGGAATTACAGCATATAATTAAATTGACAATATAATAAATATAATTAACTTGATAATCAATTTAATATTATTTATGTACTAATGAATATTTAATAAATTTACAAAGATTTTATTACAACAAATTTATAAAACTATACACGTATATGTTCAACACAGGCACGAAATAAATATATATCTATCTAATCAATTTTAACATAAAACTGCTTGTAACTGACAAAATTGAATAGTAATCGGCGCGAATAAAAAGCAGATCGAATGTCTCATATCTGGTTAGTAATGCACTTTTTGTGAGCAAGTAGAATAGATAATAATCAATAGAAAAGTCCTCTATTTTTCAACTTTCGCAATACTTAACATTTTAAATTATAAAAATATATATCGGAATGTGCATAAATCCATATGAAGATATAACAGGAAGTCGATGCTTTTTCATTTTTGTAGACAAACTTTGCTCATAGTCAAACTTATGCTTTTCATTCTAAAGGCGATGCTGAAGATACCGACTGAGCCGATTATTTTCAGACAAAGTAATCTTTTCATTGATCATACAGAATTAAAAATCTTTTTCTAGAATTGAAATATAGACAATAACACACTCGGGTCTGTATATTTTATATGAAAGAGGAAAAAAAATTAGAAAATTACAGTTTTATTATCGATTTTTGAGGTTAAATTGACATTTTTCTATGAATAAAAGTTTAGACTTTGAAGATATAAACAACACAAACTCACCGGGACGGAATTACAAGAAAGAACATTACTATGCTTTTAAAAATGCGCCTAGGAGCTATATATATAAGAAAATACTTTGCCTGAAAATTTCATGGATATGTATGCGTACCTGTATGTATGATATGTATGTATACATAAATGTATCTATGTATGTTTAGATGTGCATATATGCGAACGTTTCGTCGGAGTTCGCTCGTCAGTCCAGCATCCCCTTGACAAAAAATTCTCGCCGCACGCCTAAAAATCGTGAATGTTCGCAATGTTGGTTTGTCTCTTTGGACATATGCTTATTCATGATTTTTTATAACTTAATATTTCATTAATTATTGTGAAAATGATAGAGGATTATTCTATTTAGCATAATCTGTCTATCTGTCTACGAGAGATACATGAGAAATATTAATTATAAGATACTTTGTATATAAATTGTATATAAATTTATGAAAAGTATTCCTAGAAAAAAGTTCTGCCCAAAATGATCAAAAATATCAGAATTTGTCTATACTATTTTATAACATTTCGGAAGATAAATGTTAGCAATATTGTTAAAATAAGATTTATCATTTAAAACAAGAAATATTGCACAATTTTTTATTTCAATAAAAAATAACAGTTATTCTAGATCATTAAGTTACATTAACCTGTACAACAGAAAAGAAATATCAATACAATTATATTATTGGTAAATAAAATTTTATTAGAGTGTGGTAATAGGATATACTAGATGCTAGCAGATTATTGTTTTGTAATTGAACGTACTTCCAAATATCAAATAATTTTGTAACAATAGACATCACATTGCGTTTCATTGTTTTTAAACATCCCCCATTATAATCAAATGCTCAATATTTTTGCCTGAAACATATATATTTTCGTTTACCTAATAATTGGTCAAAATAGATAAATACGAAAAAAAAATGTTTAGAAATAATTTTGCGAAGAATAGAAGTTGTTATAAGAAATTATATTTAATACTTTCAAAAATATTGATAAGTGCTTAGCAAACCTGTCAATATACTTTAAAGTTTTTTTTTTGTTACCCTCGCTCGCACAGACGTGCCAATTCTGTGGCAAATAGGCAGAATTCTTCTAACATTATACAGGCATCAATATATTCAGAAGAGTCTTCAGCATAATGCTGCAGCTTGTTGCGCAGCTGCAAGCAACTTGGAAGCAACAGCATCACGTAGATGTCTTGTATCTAAAACAATAAGCAATTTTTTATTCTTTTTGTTTACAGCATCATTAGATAAATCCAAATTAAATGTAGATAAAAAAAAGTTTTTAGCCATACTTACACTGGAAATACTGATGATTGTTGAGATTATATTCGATTAATATCTGATGATAAATATTAGTCATTATTTAAAACTGTGCTTCCAGAAATACGAACGTATATATGTTCTTCTTAATTGGAACTTTCAAGTTTTTCTGTAGAAAAACACAAGAAGCATTCAAATTCTCTAATAAAAATAAATGAAACTGTTTCATTAATTAGATA